GTTTTCTGGTGGTTTATTGGAGTTAAGAGTCTCAGGGTCTCTCCTGCCCGGGCTGGCTTTGAACCGCGATCCTCAGATCTCAGCCTCCTGAGTAGCTAGGATTACAGGCGTGAGCCACCAGCGCCCGGCTAAGTCAAGAAACTCTTAGCTTCAATTAATTACTAGAAGTGATACTGTGGCTCAAAGTGGTACTGTACTAGCCTTGAGCAAAAACTCAGGAAGGCTGGGAATGTGGCTTAATAGTAGAATGTTTGCCTAACATGCATGAAGCCCTGGGTTCAATTCCTTAGTACTAAACAGAAAAAAACAGAAAAAAAGCCAGAAGTGGTGCTGTGACTCAAGTGGTAGAGTGCTAGCCTTGAGCAAAAAGAAGCTCAGGAACAGTATCCAGGGCCTGATTTTAAGTCCTAGAATTGGCACAAAAAAAGTGGTGGGAAGGTAGCAAGTCTAGAGAGCTAAGTTCAAACCCCAGTACTGGAAAAATAAACCCCCTTGTGTCACTAACGTAAGCTAATTTTTAAAATTAGATAAATAATTTGCAGGTGTAATTTATACAAGAAGAGCCTGAGGAGAGCCTAGTGCAGGTAGAGGGAAGGTAAAGACTAGGTGTACTTATAGATGTGTTAGGAGGAGGAGGAGGAAAGGTGGCATTCTCTTCTGATTATCTGGTAAGAATAAGAGATGGGAGATCAGGCTTATAGACCTGAGGAAGTGATACAAGCTGTATTGACAGCAGAAAAAAAGCATTGGTGGAGACAGATTTCCAGGGCAGCCTCTGGAGCCCAGCTAGGATGAGGCCAAGTACTAGAGGGTCCTGCATGTCATCCTACTATTTTGGAGGCTGAGATCCGAGGATCAAGCTTCAAAGCCAGCCCAGACAAGAAAGTCCCAGAAAACCTTTTATCTCCAGTGAACCAGTAAAAAGCCAGAAGTGGAGGTGTGGCTCAAGTAGTAGAGTGCCAGCCTTGAGTGAAAAAGCCACATAGAAGTAGAAGACCATGAGTTCATGCTCTAGTACTAGCATGTTCCCTCCCTCCTCTCTCCCGCCCTCCCCCCCCCCCCACACACAAACAAAGATAACTTTTCAGTGAGCCCAAAGAGAAGAACACATTTAGAATAAAGAAGGCAGCTGCAGAGATTGAAGGCCCTGGTCCTCAGTAGGGCGGTGGAGTACCTTGTCTGTCTGTCTGTCTGTTTGTCCTATGGTTCTAGAATCTGCTCCCACACTACAGGGGAGGAAATGGAGGCCCCAGGACCCAAGACCAGCAGCAGAGCCAAAGTCAGACCAGCCTTTCCTGATTTCCCCTCGGCACTCCTGGTCCCCTGAGGTTTCCTAGTCCCGCTATCATAGCCAGGCTCATAGTGCACATGTCTGTGTGCTTACTGGCTGGCATGGGGTGTGGCTGTTAAGTAGAGGCAGCTTTTCTGTCCCCTGCCTGTTCCCTGCTCCCTCCAGAGCTGGGCATGGCACTGCAGAGGTGGAAAACCCCAACTATGACTCTTTACCTCCTGGGAGATGACCCAGTATCCTTCCTGTTTTGCCATTTCTCTAGACCTTCCCTCTGGGATCATATTCATGCCTCTGAATCTAGCAGCCAAAGCCAAGCAGCCAGTTTGGCGTCACTGAGAGCGATCAAGGGGTTCTTTAATTTCAGGCATGGAGAACTAAACTCAGACCAGCCTGGAAGTCACAGAGAGCCAGGTGGGAAGAGGCCTGCATTGGTATTTTGGTGTTGGAGGTTTTCTCTGCTGCGGGTACTGGGGTCCACAGGACTATGTTAGTATATGGGCTATGCTGGGTGGCTTCCTAAAGTTTAGCAGAAATCTTCCTTAGGTAGAAGAAAATCTGGGCTGGGAATGTGGCTTAGTGGTAGAGTTCTTGCCTAGCATGCATGAAACTCTGGGTTCAATTCCTTAGTACCACATAAACAGAAAAAGTCAGAAGTGGCACAGTGGCTCAAGTGGTAGCATGATAGCCTTGAGCAAAAGCTCAGGGACAGTGCCCAGGACCTGAGTTCAAGTCCCAGGACTGGAAAGAGAGAGAGAGAGAGAATTTGTTAGGAAGGGAAGTAGGGGGAGGGGCTGCTTGTGGCCAAGTTCTGAGCCTTGCCTCTCAGAGCATGTTCTGCACATTAGCTGCTGACTGAGATACTGGTAGTCATTAGATGGAAAGCTTATATGACACCAGAATGTATACCACGCTGGTGCTAGTGCTCATGCCTATAACCCCTAACTAATCAGGAGACTACATCTGAGGAATAGGGTTCAAAGGCAGCCTGGGCAGAAAAGTCTGTTGAGATTCTTATTGCCAGTGAATCACCAAAAAGCCAGAAGTGGAGCTGTGGCTCAATTAGTACAGCATCAGCCTTGAGTGTAAAGGTCAAGTGAGAGTGTACGGCCCCGAGTCCAAGCATCAGCTCGAACAACAAAAAGAACCCCCCCCAAAACAATAAACCCATGTATTAGTTATGTCAGAACAAACACAAGGCGTAGCCGAAGCCTTTTCTTGATGAAAGGGACATTTATTTCAGAGCACCAACTTTTGTCTCATTGCAGACTAGCACTGCAAGCATTCTGCTCACCAGGAATTCAGATGAGGACTTCCCAGTTTTACAAAAGTCTGAGAGAGAGCAGATACAGAGCCCCTCTCACGCAGCATGAGTATTGGGGGCTAGAGCTCCGGACTTGTGTGGAGGGCCTGGACTCCCTGCCTTGCTTGCAGGGGCAGGACAGCCATACTGAGTTTCCCTTGTCCTTGCAGGAAACCGGCATGCCTTGGAGAAGAACATGTTGGTTGTGTCAGTGGCCACGGCGGGCTGTAATGAGTTCCCTACTTTGGAGTCAGAGGAAAAGTGTAAGTATCGCCCTGGCCCCTAGCCTACAGAGCAGGCACTGGTCCCTAGGTGGAAATAGACGTCCTGGCCCAAGCCACTGCTACTTGGCCCTCTGCTAAGAGGATGGCCATAGTTTTCTAACAACTGATGCGAGCTTGTGTTTTTTAGTGGGGAAACTGACCTACAAGGTGGATGGCTAAGATACCAGTCCTCAGGTCTGGTCTCTCAGGCCTGTGGAGCCACCATGCTGACCACCACCCATCAGCTGCCTGGCTTGGGGGCATCATCTCTTTGAAATATTTCTTTTCCTTCCTTCCTTCCTTCCTTCCTTTCTTTCTTTCTTCTGGTCTTGGAGCTTGAACTCAGGACCTTGGCTCTGTCCGTGAGCTTTTTTTGGGGGGGTCTGGTCATGGGGCCTGAACTCTAGGCCTGGGCGCTATCCCTCAGCTCTTCAGCTCAAGGCTAGCACTCTACCACTTGAGCCACAGTGCCACTTCTGGCTTTTTTCTTTTTGCTTATGTGGTGCTGAGGAATTGAACCCAGGGCCTCAGGCATGCAAGGCACGTGCTCTACCACTGAGCCAACTTCCCAGCCCCTATTTTTTTTTTTTTTGGTCAGTTGTGGGGCTTGAACTCAGGGCCTGGGTGCTTTCCCTCAGCTCTTTTAAAAGTCCTTTACTGCTTTTAGCCACAGCTCCATTTCTGGTTTTCTGGTGGTTAATTGGAGATAAATGTCTCAATTGGAGATAAATGTCTCATGGACTTTGCTGTTCAGGCTGACTTTGAACCATGCTTCTCAGATCTCAGCCTTTTGAGTAGCTAGAATTACAGGCATGAGCCACAAGCATCCAGCTATTTATTTATTCTTTTAATGTGATTTTGCTGGGGGGTTTAATTCCAAGGATTATATAAAATACCTAGTCTAGAGTCTGAGGGTAAAAAGCTAACCTAATGAGGTTTTTTGTTTGTTTTTTTGATCATTTCAGACACACTGATCATAAATGACGAACACTGTTTACTGGAGTCTAAGACTGTCTGGGGAGCTCTTAGAGGTAATGAGGTGGGGTGGGGTGGGTGTAGGGATGATGGGGGACAGTTGGTATTGGTTGGGTAGGAGGACAGGATTGGGGGCCTGGCAAAAACTCCTACTCAAGGTGGCTTGCTTCACTAAGGAGACTAGGTGGAGAGTTCCCAGCCCCATACTGCAGTGCCTAGATGCTGACAGGCCTTGCTTTCTTGGCAGCCCAAGGGACAGTCTTCACAGGGCAGGGAGCTGGAGAGGGGCCGATGGCTGCCACACCCCTGCCTCTCAGCTCCCACTCAACACATGCCATCAAGAATCCTTTATAAAGAAAATCTAAGGGACTGGTAAGGTGGCTTACTGGTAGAATGCTTGCCTAGCATGCATGAAGCCCTGGGTTTGATTCCTCAGTACCACATAAATGGAAAAGGCCAGAAGTGGCACTGTGGATCAAGTGGTAGAGGGCTAGCCATAAGCTGAAGAGCTGAAGGAGAGCACCCAAGCCCAGAGTTCAAGCCCCATGATCGACCAAAAAAAAAAAAAACCTCAGCCTGGCACAATAGTACATGCCTATGGTCTCAGCTACTGGAAAGGCTGAGAGAAGAGAATCACTTGAGCTCAATATATCAAGATCCTGTCTTTTTTTTTTTTTTCCTTTCCCTGGTTGTGGGGCCTGAACTCTGGGCCTGGGCACTGTCTCTGAGCTGTTCAGCTCAAGGCTAGCGCTCTACCACTTGAGCTACAGCACCACTTCCAGCTTTTTTTTGCTTATGTGGTGCTGAGAAATCGAACCCAGGACCTCATGCATGCAAGGTAAGCACTCTACCATTGAACCACCTTCCCAGCCCCAAGATCCTGATTCTTAAGGGAAAGAGAAGAGGAAAACTGGACAAAATAAATGGATAAATATATTTTGTGTAAGTGTCAGTATTGGGGCTTGAACTCAGGGCAGGACCCTATTGCTTAGCTTTTTTGTTCAAGGCTGGTATTCTACCACTTGATCCACACCAGCTCCTCTTTTGGCTTCTTGGTGGTTAATTCAAGATAAAAGTCTCTTAGCTGGGTGCTGGTGGCTCACGCCTGTAATCCTAGCTATTCAGGAGGCTGAGATCTGAGGATCGAGGTTCAAAGCCAGCCCAGGCAGGAAGTCCGTGAGACTCTTATCTCCAATAAACCACTGTCCCTCAGCTCTTCAGCTCAAGGCTAGTGCTCTACCACTTGAACCACAGCACCACTTCTGGCTTTTTTTCTTTTTGCTTATGTGGCGCTGAGGAATTGAACCCAGGAGCTCATGCATGCAAGGCAAGCCCTCTACCACTGAGCCACCTTCCCAGCCCCAAATGATGTCCTTTTCTTTCTGTAGCAGACAATAAGCCACACCTTTCCCCTTTGCTGGAGAAGGATTGAGTTCCTAAATAAAGACTTGGCCACAGGCTGCTGCTATGTTTTTGCTCAAACCTCTGCTGGTGACAAGATGAGGAAAACATCTCCTGAACTCGGCACCTTGGTTTAGTTTGTCATCATGCTGCCTCTCCTGGCATGCTGCGGGATATCAGCATGCATGTTCCCCTCTGTGGCCTCTCTCAGCTTCTGCGCAGGTGCTCCTTAGTCAGGGGCTGGAGTACTTGGGGTCAGAGTACACCCGTGGTATGCTTCAGCCTTGGCTCTGATTGAATAGATAAGGTCTTGTGGATTTTTTTAATTTTGAAATTTAGAGGCTTTGGGTTGTTTTTTTTTTCATTATACAAAGTTGCCATTTAACAGAGCAGTCTGTGAATACTCTCTGTCTGAATCAGTGTTACTCCTTCCATCATACTCATTTTGGGATTCTTTTTGTTGTTGTTGTTGTTGTTGGTCATGGAGCTTGAACTCTGGACCTGGACGCTGTCCATGAGCTCTTCAACTCAAGGCAAGCACTCTTAACCACTTGAGCCGTAGGATCACTTCTGGTGGTTAATTGGAGATCAGAGTCTCATGGACTTTCCTTGCCCAGGCTGGCTTTGAACAGCAATGCTCAGATCTCAGCTTCCTGAGTAGCTAGGGTTACAGACCTGAGCCACCGACGCCTTGCTCATTTTGGGATTCTTTACAGGGCTTTTCTGGGTCTTTAGGAGATGACCCCCAGTTGGTATGAGTGTATATCCTACTCTGTACTAGTTCTGTCTGCATGTGGGCCTTGCTGGCCTCTTAAGAGACTATGTTGGTGGGGTGGGCAGGCTTCCAGTGACCTGGTCTCTTCTTGAACCCCAAAGATGAACAGTGGTGACCCCTGGTTACTCCTGATCAGTTAAGTCCAATGATGGCCTCAGGCTCTGGGAAACTCTATCTTAGATCACTTTTTTCTCACAATCACAGTTGAGTCTGGGAGAAGGATCAGTAGACCGGCCCTTCCTTGGCTCCCTTTGTTCCTGGTGAGTTCTGTCCACGGGTGGCCTTAAACCCTGCAGGTGTTCTTTGCTCTTCATCTTGCCCAAGAAGCACATACCTCACCCTCTGTTCTTTTGTGTGTGTGTATGTGTGTGCACGCATGCACATCCTGGGGCTTGAACTCAGGGGGGCCTGGGTGCTGTCCCTCAGCTTTTTATTCAAGGCTAGTGCTCTGCCACTTGAGCCCCAGCTGGCCTTCTGGTTTTACGGTGGTTAATAGGAGATAAGAATCTCACAGACTTTCTTGCCTGGCTGACTTCCAAATCATGATCCTTAGAAAGCTCATCCTCCTGAGTAGCTGAGATGGCAGGCATGAGCACCGGTGCCCAGTTTCTTCGTTCTCTGTTTGAATGTTTTTGCAAATTTAAGGCTCAGGAAACAAAGATAAAAAGGGTGTGCGGGGTGAGTTGGTCCCCTTCTTGCAAGGAGAGCACTGAAATCCCTTCCCTCCCTCCTTCTCCCACCTCTTAAAGTAACTATGAAGACCAGCTTCCTGGCACCCTATTCATTCGTCTTCAGACCCCTTCTAGGTCTGCCCACGTGCTGTGCTTGGCCCCCTCAAGAGCCTGGCAGGTGAATACATCTCCCCATCCCTGAGTTTTCTCTCTGCCTTTCCACTTCTCACAGGTCTGGAGACTTTCAGCCAGCTTGTTTGGAAATCTGCTGAGGGCACGGTGAGTGTGGGTCCCAAAAGGACTCCATTTTATTTATTTTTGTGTGTATGTATGCTGCTCCTAGAGCTTGAACTCAGGGGGCCTGGGTATTGTCCCTGAGCTTTTGTACTCAAGGCTAGTGCTACCACTTGAGCCACAGCTCCACTTCCCACTTTTCTGATGGTTCTTTAGAAAGAAGTTTCAGGGGGCTGGGAAGGTGACTCAGTGGGTAGAGTGCTTGCCTTGTGTGTATGAGGCCCTGGGTTCGATACCTCAGCACTACATAGGCAGAAAAAGCTGGAAGTAGCTCTGTGGCTCAAGTGGTAGAGCACTAGCCTTGAGCTGAAGAGCTGAGGGACAGTTCCGAGGCCCTTGAACCATGATCCTCGTATTATCTCAGCCTTCTGAGTAGCTGGGAAGGCAGGCATGAGCCATGGGTGCCTAGTGAGAAGGGCTCCTTTTTAAACTCTGAGATTTTCTCCAGAGGCCTGGAAGATACTAAGGATTCTGGGGAAAGTCTTTTTTTTTTTTTTTTTTTTGGTCGGCCGTGGGGCTTGAACTCTGGGCCTGGGCGCTGTCCCTCAGCTCTTCAGCTCAAGGCGAGCGCTCTACCACTTGAGCTACAGCGCCACTTCCGGTTTTCTGGTGGTTTATTGGAGATAGGAGTCTCACGGTCTCTCCTGCCTGGGCTGGCTTTGAACCACGATCCTCAGATCTCAGCCTCCTGAGTAGCTAGGATTACAGGCGTGAGCCACCAGCGCCCGGCGTTGGGGAAAGTCTTAATGTGCCTTTAACAAAGTTTTGGTGGCTTTAAATAGCCCCAGCAGTCAAGGGCAGATGTGAGTGGAGGAGTGGCTTGGTAGATTTGGTCTGTTTGAAGGCGTCTCTCTTGAATCATTTTATAATGACCCAGCTGCCACACTGCTTGAACAGGACACATCAGGTCAGGAAACTGCATAGCCTGTGGGCTGATGTACTACACAATATAGCGATTGGTGAGGGAGGGTCAGGGAGGGTTAGGGACAGATACACTGCAGAATCTCACTGAGTGGCTTTTCAGAGTTCTTAGGAGTTTCTTCCTCACCCTTACTCTGAATCTTAATACATGCAATGATTGGTCCCTACAGTTCTTTATCAATAAGACAAACGTCGAGGACTTCCCCCGCTTCCCTCACCGGGGCCTGCTGCTGGACACCTCGCGCCATTACCTGCCTTTGGCTGCCATCCTGGACACACTGGTACCCAGGCCTTAGGCCTCCTTCATGCATGGGGTTCTGGTGATGGACAGGAGATAGATGAAGTTTCACATTTCTCAAGAACAGAGAGAAGCTAGGAGTTGGGTGGCTCAAATCTGTAATCCTAGCTACTCAGGAGGTTGAGATCTGAGGATCACAGTTTGAAGCCAGTCCGGACAGGAAAGTCCATGAAACTCTTATCTCCAATTAACTATCAAAAAGCTGCAAATTGAGGGCTGGGAAGGTGGCTCAGTTGTAGAGCGCTTGCCTTGCATGCCTGAGGCCTTGAGTTCCATTCCTCAGCACCACATAATCAGAAAAAAAAAAGCCGGAAGTGGCACTGTGGCTCAAGTGGTAGTGCACTAGCCTTGAGCTGAAGAGCTGAGGGATAGCACCCAGGCTCAGAGTTCAGGCCCCATGACCAGACCCAAAAATAAATAAATCAGAAAAAGAGGACTGGGAATGAGGCTTAGTGGTAGAGTGCTTGCCTAGCATGCATGAAACCTTAGGTTCAACTCAGTACCACGTAAACAGAAAAAACTAGAAGTGGTACTGTAGCTCAAGTGGTAGAGTGCTAGCCTTGAACAAAAGAGGCTCAGGGACAATGCTCAGCCCTGAGTTCAAGCCCCAGGACTGGACAAAACAAAACAAAAAAACAGCAACAGGAAAAAAAAGAGAAAGAAAAAGAATAGAGAATGTATGTAACTCACACCTAATTCTGTACAACTGGCTGCTGTGGACCAATCTTCAGGCTGTTGGCAGAGGTGCAGACAATGTTTTCTTGTGTGTGTTTTTTTTTGTCCATTATGGGGCTTAAACTCAGCACCTAGGCCCTGTCCCTGAGCTCTTTTGCTCAAGGCTAGCACTCTACCACTTAGAGCCATGGCACCACTTCTGACTTTTTGATGATTAATTGATGATAAAAGTCTCATGGACTTTCCTGCCCTGATTGATTTGGAAATACAATCCTCAGATCTCAGCCTCCTAAGTAGCTAGGATTACAGGCATGAGCTACCAGTGCTCAGCTTAGAAAGTACTTTGAAACTTGGCTTCTCCGGCTACCAATGCTGTTAAATTGAATAGGGTTGGAGGAAAGCTATGTTCAAAGCCTTGCTGGGGAATTAACTAACTTGAGTTTGATGTGCAGTGTTCCCCGTCAGCTGCTAATTTAGCTGCCTTTCCCTTTATTTGCATGGTGGAGCAAAAGTGTATATGTGTGTATGCATGTGTGCATGTGTGTGTATGTGCCACTAGTAGGGTTTGAAATCAGGCTTGTAGCCATCGCTGAGCTTTTTTGCTCAAGGCTAGCACTCTGCTACTTGAGTCACAGCTCCTCTTCAGGCTGATGGGAAGACTCGAGTCCATGGCACCTGGGACCACTTCCCTGCAAATGGCAGCAGGTTGAGCTGTGTGGGGTATGTGGAGCAGCCTGCCCCCCGCCCTCTATGGGGTGTGAGAGGTTCATGCGTTGTTCTCTGACCTGCAGGATGTCATGGCATACAATAAATTCAACGTCTTCCACTGGCACCTGGTCGACGACCCTTCCTTCCCATACGAGAGCTTCACATTCCCAGAGCTCACCCGGAAGGTAGGTATTCACCTGGAGCCCCGCTCCATCTTAGCTAGACCCACTGGCAGAGCGGGACAACAGTGGCTCTGGAGCACAGCACTTGGTTTCAGGTCCAGCCTCTGCCATTCCTGCTCTGTGACTTTCAGAAGCTAGCCCTCTAGTAGTGGTTGGCATGTACAGTGTTCAGTGGGCACAGTTCCCGCCTTGTCCGCCTCACTGCCCTGACTGCTGCTCAGATGTAACGACATATTGACCGAGCCTTCAAGATAGTCCCCACGCCACTGGGGCTGTGGACCAGTGTTCGGATGCCCGGGGTGTCCTGGGGACATCTTGAGCATCAGGACCCTGAGTCCAAAGGGCATTTTGGGCCTTGTAGGGATCCTACAACCCCGTCACGCACATCTACACAGCCCACGACGTGAAGGAGGTCATCGAGTACGCGAGGCTGCGGGGCATCCGCGTGCTGGCAGAGTTTGACACCCCCGGCCACACTTTGTCCTGGGGACCAGGTAAGAGTGGTGCCCGGTGTTGGAGAGAGTTTACTGATACTTCTCTGAGCAACCTCAAGGAAAAGAGTCACGTTGTACTATTGAAATACGAGTGGATTCTTCTCTGAGGCCCATACAGGCTGCTGCATCCTAGGGTGGGCGGGAAGGGCTGACCCCTGGTGTAGAACCTGAAAAAGAAAACTCAGGGTAGCCCCTGTAGCTCACTCACTATCTCCTGTATGGTCTTCACCCCAGGGTGAGCATCCCAGATTGAACCACAAAGCTCAAGGCTTATTAAAGGAAGATTGAAGCTGGGCGTTGGTACCTTATAATTATAATCCTAGCAACTCAGTAGGCTGAGATCTGAGGATTGTGGTTCAAAGCCAGCCCTGGCAGCAAAGTCCTTGAGATTCTTAATCTCCAGTTAACTACCAAAAAAACCAGAAGTAGAGCTGTGGCTCAAGTGGTAAACCTCTAGCCTTGAACAAAGAAGCTCAGGGACAGCGTCCAGGTCCTGAGTTCAAACCAAAAAGTAAGATTTTGGGGGATGAGAGAGGGTATGGCTTGAGGGGTATAGCACCTGCCTAAACAAGCAGGAAGATCAGTATTCAATTCCCAATACTGACTACAGAAACATTGGCTGAGGTGCCACTTGGTCTCAGCCTCAGCTGGAAAGGGCCCTGAGTTCAGGGAGAGGCCCTGAGCTCAGGGAGAGGCCTTGAGGAGTGTAGAGCACTGTGGTGATGGGGGCCCCACAGGGAAAGATGGGGCTGGTTGGCTCCACCCTTTGAGAATAGTGTGTCACAGCGTGTCTGCTATCAGTGAGCTGCCTGTGACCAGCTCTGTCTGATAGTAGGCCTATTTGTATTTGTGACTAAACAGGTGCCTGTGAACTTCAGGTACGAATGCATGTGATGTTTATGAGCAAAGTTGTGTTGCTTTGTATGACTTGTCTTATGTGGTACGGTGCATGGTATCTGTGTATGAGTGACACACGTGTGGGCTCTCTGTTAACATAGGTATCCCAGGGCTACTGACTCCCTGCTACTCCGGCTCTCTGCCCTCTGGCACCTATGGACCGGTGAATCCAATTCTCAACAACACCTATGAGTTCATGAGCACATTCTTCTTGGAAGTCAGCTCCGTCTTCCCAGATTTTTACCTTCACCTTGGAGGAGATGAGGTTGATTTCACCTGCTGGTATGAGCCTCCCACTCTACCCACCCCATGCTGACCAGTGGCTTGCTCAGAGTAGAGAACCTTCAACACAGTGGCCTGTCCCAGCCCAAAGGGGAACCATGTGTAACATGAATGAGGCTTAACAGTAGAACCCACCCTTCCCCCCATCTCCTGTCTTTGAGATATTTATGGAAATACTAGCTCAGAGCTCATAATTGTCTTGGGAAATTTTGAGGTAGAGGAAAAAAAACAGGCCCTGCTCATAAAGGCTTAAAACAGTGTGACCAAGCCAGGTACTGGTGGCTCATGCTTGGAATCCTAGCTACTCAGGAGGCTGAGTTCTGAGGATCAAAGTTCAAGGCCCTGGGTGGACAAGTCCAGGAACCACCAAAAGCTGGATGTGGAGAGATGGCTAAAGTAGTAGAGTGCCAACCTTGAATGAAAAAGCTAAGCAAGAGTTCAAAATCCTGAGTTCAAGCTCCAGTACTAGCATGCATGAACAATTTATAAATAAATACATAGCCTGATCAAAGAGTCAATCTCAGAATTCAAAGCTAATGGGTGGCAGTATCTAATATGAACTCATGTCCAAACTCCTCATATCTACTTAGTTCAAAAGAGGTGGAGTGGCCAGGTGTTGGTGGCTCATGCATGTAATTCTTGCTACTCAGGAGGCTAAGACCTAGAGGATTATAGTTAAAGGCCAACTCAGTGAGAAAAGTCCATGAGATACTGTCTCTAAAATAATGAGCCAAAAAGCAAGCCTGGAGGAACCCACTGAGCAAACCAAAAGCATTAGGCCCTGAGTTCAGGCCCTAGGACCAACCCCCCAAAAAGCCGAGGGACTTCAAGCAGTGGGCATTGGTACCCAGAGGCCCCCTCAGGCTTGGCGCTCATGCTCTGAGGACCACTTCCCTGGCCACCCTGCCTGCCCTGCTGCAGCTCCACTTTGGCCACGCCTTCCTCGCATGGGACGGCCCAGATCCTCAGCGCTGTTTGCTCTTCCTAGAAAGGGTCAGTTGCAGAAGCCAAGGCGGAATCTCGGGGCCTGGAGGGAGGTGAGAACGCCGATCTTCCTTTTCCCTTATGACTCAGGAGGTCCAATCCTGATATCCAGGCCTTCATGAAGAAGAAGGACTTCGACGACTTCAAACAGCTGGAGTCCTACTATATCCAGAAGTGAGGAAGGCAGGGGCGGGGGTTGCATTGGGGATCACCTCCTGTGGGGTCTCAGTCAGGCCCTGTTCGCCCACTCTCTGGGCCCCCGAAGGCTCTCTCTGTCCTGTCCTTTCAGGTCCCAGCCCCGGGGAAGCGACTGCCCAGTGAGGGCTAGGCCCCCCGGCCAGGCACCACCGCAGAGCACCGCCACACGGCCCAGAGCCTGGCTGGGCTGAGCAGACCCTCTCTTGACGCTCCTCTCCTCTCCAGGCTGCTGGACATAGTCTCTTCTTATAACAAGGGCTACGTGGTGTGGCAAGAAGTGTTTGATAACAAAGTTAAGGTGAGTGGGGGCAGAGAAGGGGAGGAAGGTCCCTGTGGTGTCTCCAGCTGTCTCTTGCCAGGCTTTGGTAGTCAGAGCCCTCACAGCCATCTCTCCATTTCCCTCAAGAAGAGCCACAGAGGGGTTGGGTGTGGTGGCTCACACCGATAATCCCAGCCGCTCAGGAGGCTGAAATCTGAGGATCACTGCTCCAAGCCAGTCCAGGCAGGAAAGACCATGAGACTCTTTATCTCCAATAAACTACCAAAAAGCCAGGAGTAGAGCTGTGGCTCAAGTGGTATAGCTGTAGCCTGGAGTGAAAAATCTCAGGGGCATCACCCAGGCCCTGAGGTAGTAGTGTGTGCATATGCATGTGTGCATGCCCCCACACACAGCCACAGAGACGTGAGCCCCCAGGTTTAGGTGCCAGCGCCTCTGTCTGCCCACACTGAGAAGGAATCACGGTACCATGGGATTCCTGAGTCACGGGCCTGGCTCTTCGGGGTCTGGAGATAAAGGCTGCCTTTTCTTTGTTTATCAGTAAGGTCCCAGCTCCCATCCCACTTTCAGAAACATCTAAACTCTTGGATCTGTTTGCCTCCTGCTTCCAGCCGGCATTCCTCTCCTCCTGTGGCATGCGGGGCTGCAGGGCCCCAGGGAGGGATGCTGCAGGCAGCACCCCAACCTAGGTCTGACCTGGGACCTAGGGCGCCCTCCACCGCCCCCCAGGCCTCAGCTAAGCCATCTGGGGTCCCAGGGGCATCCTTTTCCTCTGAGGGCCAGGGCCACCAGCAGCCCTTGACCCGAGAACTTCCTCAGCTCTATGCCATGACTGTCCTTGGACCTTTTGTGACAGGTTCGGCCAGACACCATTATACAGGTGTGGCGGGAAGAGTTGCCAGTGGGGTACTTAAAGGAGATGGAGCAGATCACCAAGGCTGGCTTCCGGGCCCTGCTCTCTGCCCCCTGGTACCTGAACCGCATCAGTTACGGCCCTGACTGGAAGGACATGTACACAGTGGAGCCCCTGGCCTTTGAAGGTGGGGGCAGGGTGGGGGCATAGCGGTCTGCCTAATGTTGCCTAATGGTGGTTGAGGTCCCCCCCCCCAACACCCACTAGCCTCTTGTTCTCCCTCAGGTACCAAAGACGAGAAGGACCTCGTGATTGGGGGGGAGGCCTGCATGTGGGGAGAGTATGTGGACAGCACAAACCTGGTCCCCAGGCTCTGGTAAGGGAGAGTTGGGTACTAAGGCAAGGCTTCTCCTTTACCACCTTAATCCCAGCTAGTCCTCCTGGGCTGGGACTTCCCCTGGCTCCCTCCTGCAAACCCCTACCTGGAAGGTCCATGGTGCTTAGGTTGTAGGCCTTACTTGTCTGTGGAGCTAGTGTGGCCTTGGTGGGCACAGGGTCCTTGCTCAGCGCCCGACATCAAGACTGTGGCCTCTGTGAAGCTCCCCAAGCCTGGATCACTGTCCTCATTTTAAAGAAGTTGGAGCTGAGCTGGTGCTGTGAATGAAGTATCAGTTCCATCCCTTGGCCCTGGCTAGTCCAGGCCTGCATGGAGGGAGGTGACCTATGGGTGCCCAGCCTCCTTGTGGGAGCACAGCACCCCCCCCCCAGCCTGCCACTCATCCCTCTTCCCTCAGGCCCAGAGCAGCCGCTATTGCCGAAAGGCTGTGGAGCAGCAACTTAACAACTGGCCTGAACTTCGCCTATAGACGCTTGTCCCACTTCCGCTGTGAGCTGCTGAGGTGAGCGGGCTGGGTGGGGGCTGGGACCCCTTCCTCAGGAGGAAACAAGAATAACAAGTATACCATCATGAGCCCAATGCCCAGCCTCAGGCCGGCCCTGCCTCATTGATTCATGCCACAGATCATAAGGCAGGTCAGAGATTAGCGTTCCTTACCCAGAGTCTCTCAGGAATAGGAATGCAATGAGATCCACTTCTGTGGGTTCCAGTGAGGCCCAGGCCCCATTGAGATGTCCATGAGGCATTTCCCTGACTCCACCACTGATAAGAGTTTGAGGACCAGAGCTGAGCAGGAGACACACAGTGTGGGGCCTGAGGCTCAGCTGTCTACTACATGCTGTGTGACTTTAGGCCGCCTCCTTTCCCTCTCTGAGTGTGTTGCTTATTTGGATAAGGAAGAGAGATTGAGAGAACATGGCTTTATGCCAGGGCATGGACTGGCCAGCTTCTCAGGTCTCCACTGCCATCCACTGGCACCTGCACAGTGTTTCCAGCATGTAAGAACCAAAAGCAGGGGACTGAGGTGCTCGGAGCAATCAGTACCCTTCTGGCCTCGGCCTCTTGTTTTTGTTTGTTTGATTTTGTGCCCACAGTGGAGCTTGAACTGCTGGCTTTGCATTTTGGTTCAGCCTTTTCACACAAGGTTAGCACTGTACCACTTGAGCCACACCTCCAGTTCCACATCTTTTTTTTATGCCAGTCATGGGGCTTGGGCCTAGGCGCTGTCTCTGAGCATCTTTTGCTCAAGGTGAATGCTCTGCCACTTGAGCCACAGCACCACTTCTGATTTTTTTTGAGTAGTTTATTGGAGATAAGAGTCTCATGGTAGCCGGGTGCCCGAGGCTCACACCTGTAATCCTAGCTCCTCAGGAGTCTGAGATCTGATGATCACAGTTCAAAGCTAGCCCAGGCAGGAAAGTGGCTCAGTGGTAAAGTGCTTGCCTCACATGCATGAGGTCCTGGGTTTGATTCCTAAGTACCACATCAGCAGAAAAAGCTGGAAGTGGCGCTGTGGCTCAAGTGCTAGAGCTCTTGCCTTGAGCTGAAGAGCTGAGGGACAGCACCTGGGCCCAGAGTTCAAGCCCCACAACTGACCAAAAAAAAAAAAAAAGCGTCTCATGGAGTTTCCTGCCTGGACTGGCTTTGAACCATGATCCTCAGATCTCAGCCTCCTGGGTAGCTAGGATGACAGGTATGAGTCACCAGTGCCTGGCTCTACCTCTTTTCTACAGGGGTTACTTGGGGGTGGGGTGCAGAAACAAACAGTAGAAAGGCGGGGGGTAATGCTCCTGTGGTCTCGGTATTTTGGGGGCTCACAGGTGGGGTTCACTTTGCTATCTGTGTGTCCCCATGCAGGCGAGGCGTCCAGGCCCAGCCCATCAGTGTAGGCTACTGTGAACAGGAGTACGAGCAGAGCTGAGCCGCCGCCCCAGGCACCAAGGAAGGTGCTGGCCCTGACAACTGTGGTGGGCCAGGCTTCCACTACACCCCGGCCGGCCGGGGACAGAGCCCCGTGCCCCCGTGCCTGGAGAGAGGAGGCTGGTGCTGGCGCTGGTGTTCAATAAAGAGTGACATGACATTTTTCTATGATGAACTTGGGTTACCTATATAAGAGGACAGAAAATGCATGGCCAAAAATGGCTGTATGTGTGCGTATGCATGTGTGTATGTGTGTGCATATACATGTACGTCTATGTACGTGTGTGCATACATGTGCGTATGCATGTTGCGCATGTATGTGCATGTGTGCTTGGGCTTGAATTCAAGGGCCTGGCACTTTTATTTGGCTTTTTCACTAAAGGCTGGTGTCCTGTCACTTGGGCCACAGCTCCATTTGCAAACTTTTCTTTTCTGATTGACTGCAGATAAAACTCTCATGGACTTTCTTGCCCATGTTTGCTTTGAACAACTATCTTCAGATCTCAGCCTTGAGTAGCTAGAATTACAGGCATGAACCACTAGTGCCCTACTCCTGTATATTTTTTAAATGTTATATCTACTATTAAAACAGTTACCATGATCTGGCCAAGATTTCTTTTTTCTTTTTGCCAGTCCTGGGGCTTGAGCTCAGGTCCTGGGCGCTGTCCCTGAGCTTCTTTTGCTCAAGGCTAGCGCTCTACCACTTGAGCCTCAGCCTCGCCAAGATTTCTTAGTGGTAGGGTGTACAATTTGCCAGCCTTCACCAATGTTGCTCTGGTCCATTGACCACACAAGCATCTACTTGAGCATCACCAGACTCTGACCAGTCCACAGGAGGGAGACGGCAGCGCACAGCAAGTGTCTATCTGACCATCTACATCCACTTTGCATCCATCTCCACCAGGGCTCTGCATAGCTCCACCCACCCTGAGCTGACCAGGACTGCTTGGAACTGCTAGTGTGCTCTGTGGCCACCAGGGGGCAGGAAAATGCCAGACTGGATTCCTGGCTCCCTTGGGCGTGGAGGGGACTGGTGACTGTGTGCCAGGTATCCTGTCCCCTGGGGCTGATAAAGTGGTGGCTTTGATGTCTTTAGGCGCCCCTTAGTGGGTTGCTGTAGGGATGGCATCCCTGGACTTGGGAGCACAGGGGCAACCATGCAGTAGGGACACTGATGGCCCCCAGGCTTCTCGCCCCCAGGGCTGTGAGGGATGGGAAAAAAGTACAAGAAAGAATAAGGACCAAGCTGGGCGCTAGTGGCTCGCTCCTGTAATCCTAGCTACTCAGGAGGCTGAGATCTAAGAATCTCAGTTGAAAGCCAGCCCAGACAGGAAAGTCCATGAGACTCTGATCTCCCAATAAACAGCCAGAAAACTGGAAGTGGCACTGTATCTCAAGTGGAAGAGTGCTTGAAGAGCTTGAGCTGAAGATCTGAGGGACAGTGCCCAGGCCCAGAGTTCAAGCCCAACAACCAACCAAAAAATAAAAAATACATATGGACTGAACCGAGTTCACTTTATTAATGTGGAGAGAACATTCCTAGCTAGAGCATATAATCTGGGATTGTATAATTTTTGTTAAATATCTTTTGGTAGATTAATCTGTCCTGTGGTCAGCACTCTGTGTGTGTGTGTGGGGGGGGGGAATTGGTTAATGGTTTCTTTGGGGGGGGGGGCCTGTCATGGGACCTGAACTCGGCCTGGGCGCTGTCCCTCAGCTCTTCAGCTCAAGGCTAGCGCGCTACCACTTGAGCCACAGCGCCACTTCTGGCTTTTTTCTTTTTGCTTATGTGGTACTGAGGAATCGAACCCAGGGCCTCATGCATGCAAGGCAAGTGCTCTACCACTGATCCACCTTCCCAGCCCATGGGTAATGGTTTATTAAAATCATTCTATAGTTTATTAAAAAAAAAAAACTGCCGGTTGGTACCCTAACCACTCAGGAAGCTGAGATCTGAGGATTATGGTTCAAAGCCAGCCTCAGCAGGAAAGTCCTTGAGACCCAAATAAACCTCCAAAAAAGCTGGAAGTAGAACTGTGGCTCAAGTGGTATAGTGCCAACCTTGACTAAAAATGCTCAGAGAAGCACCCAGGTCTTTAGTAAATTGTGTCCTTTCTTGTACTGTGATTCTAACATACATACATATCAATTTCAGTAAAATGTTTACTTAATTGAAGTTTTATTACTATTTTTATTGGCATACATTTATTGTGATATTTCCACACATATATTTTCTTCTCCATTCCACTGAACACAAAGTTTCAACAGGTTTCATCTTTGGTCAGTAGCTGTTACAGTTACAGTTGCCTGTAATTTGAGCTACTTAGGAAAAGATGAGGTCTGGTGGATCACAGTTTGAAGCCAGCCTAGGAAAAAAAGCCCACAAGACTCCATCTCAAATTAACCAGCAAAAATGCTGGGCGCTGGTGGCTCAAACATGTAATCCTAGCTACTCAGGAGGCTGAGATTTGAGGATCGAGGTTCAAAGCCAGACAAGCAGGAAAGTCTTACCTCCAATAAACAACCAGAAAATGGAAATGGCCCTATAGCTCAAGTAGTAGAGCACTAGCCTTGAGCTGAAGAGATGAGGGACAGCGCTCAGGCCAAGTTCAAGCCCCATGAACAACAACAACAAAAATCAGCAAGATAGTTCCCTGGCTAGAGCACCAACTGAGCCTAGAAAGCTAAGCAAGAGTGTGAGATACTGAGTTCATGCCCTGAAACCTACACACACACACACACACACACACACAGTTTTGACAGGCTTTATTCTTCGACACATAGAAATAAACTAGCTGGGTGCCGGTGGCTCACACCTGTAATCCTAGCTACTCAGGAGGCTGAGATCTGAGGATCACAGTTCAAAGCCGGATGGGGTAGGAAAGTCCATGAGATTCTTGTCTCCAATTAGCTGCCAGAAAACCAGAAGTGTTGCTGTGGCTCAAGCGGTAGAGCACTTCCTTTGAACTGAAGAGCTGAGGAACAGGGCCCAGGCCTAGAGTTCAACCCCTACAACTGACAAAAGCTACACTAGCTGGGCGCCAGTGACTCATACCTTTAATCCTCAGGAGGCTGAGACCTGAGGGTCACAGTTCAAAGCCAACCCGGGCAGGAAAGTCCGTGAGACTCTTATCTCCAATAAGCCACTCTGAAAACCGGAAGTGGTGCTGTGGCTCAAGTGATAGAGTGCTAGCCTTGACCTGAAGAGTGAAGGACAGCACCCAGACCCAGAGTTCAAGCCACACCACTGACACAAAAAGAAGCTACATTAACCATATACATCTTCAGTTTCCTTTTCATTATCCCTCCTGCTCTTGCTAATAACCCACCTTTTATCAGGGTCACTACTATATTCTACTTATCTATTTAGTCAGTCACGGGGCTTGAACTCTGGTCCTGAGCACTTCTGGTCCTGAGCTCTTCAGCTCAAGGCAAGCACTCTATCACTTGAGCCACAGCGCCACTTCCAGTTTTCTGGTGTTTATTGGAGTTATGAATCTCATGGACTTTCCTGCCTGGGCTGTCTTTAAACCATGATCCTTAGATCTCAGCCTCCTGAGTAGCTAGAATTACAGGCATGAGCCATTAATGCCTGGCTCTATATTCCTTATATGGAGACATCTATTAAGTATGTATAGATACAAACCCTGGAAGTTGTCATGGTTTCTAAAAATCCTTTCAGAAGTGCTCTGTGTGTTTCTCTGCTTTCCAATCATGTTGTTTAAATTAAGATGTCCATGGAGCTTTGTTTTTGCTTTGGTGTGTGTGTGTGTGTGTGTACACTACCACAAGAACCACACTCTACTCCTGGCTTTTTTTTGTTGTTGTTAAATTGAAAGTAAGAGTCACTTAGATTTGTCTGGACTGGCTTCAAACTACAACCCTCAGATCTCAGCTTCCTTGTAACCCTGAGCTAGGATTACAAGTGTGAGCCATCCGCACCTGACCTGGTTTGTATTTTTAAAGATGAAACATCACATTCTTCCTCCTCAGTGTTATTTTCTTCCCCTAAAAACTACTTCCCCAAGTTGATTTGAAGTCTCATTGCCTTCTGAAGCATCTGATACTCAGCTGTGATTTTTCTTCATTATTAATAAATCTTTTTTTTTGGGGGGGGGGCTTGAACTCTGGGCTTGGGCACTGTTCCTGTGCTCTTCAGCTCAAGGTGAGCACTCTACCACTTGAGCCACAGCGCCACTTCCCGTTTTCTAGTGGTTTATTGGAGAAGAGTCTAACAGACTTTCCTGCCTGGATTGGCTTTGAACTGCAATCCTCAGATCTCAGCCTCCCGAGTAGCTAGGATTACAGGTTTGAGCCACCAGTGCTCAGCTTGTTAATATATCTCTTATGGCTTACTTTATAGTAACCTAGAAAGGAAAGTTTGGGAAGCCAGAAGTGTATGTGTCTGTATGCCTGTGTGCATGTGCTGAAAGACACTGGTGGAGGAAGGTTGCTTGTTCTGTTCTGCTGGTGTGCCCCAGAATGTGATAGAGCCTGTGGCTGGGGATCCAGATAATCTACTTATAATAAAAGAAAAATGATCTGGGCATCGGTGGCTCACGCCTATAATCCTAGCTACTCAAGAGGCTGAGATCTGAGGAGTTGGTTCAAAGCCAGCTGGGGCAGGAAAGTCTGTGAGACTCTTATCTCCAATAAACGAACAGAAAACCATAAGTGGCGCTGTGGCTCAAGTGGTACAGGACTAGCCTTGAGCTGAGGGACAGCACTCAGGCCCAGAGTTCAAGCCCCATGACTGACAGAAGGAAGAAGAGGAGGAGGAGGAAGAGGAGAAGGAATAGGAGGAGGAGGAGGAAAGAAAGAAAGAAAAGGAAAGAAAGAAAGAAGGAAGGAAAGAAAGAGGGAAACAGAAGTCTTTTTTTTTTGTCGATGGTGGGGCTTGAATTCTGGGCATGGACACTGTCCCAGAACCTCTTTGTGCTCAAGGCTAGCACTCTACCAATCAAGCCACAGACTCCACTTCCAGATTTTTGAATGGTTAGTTGGAGATGAGAATCTCACTGGGACTTTTCTGCCCAGGCTGGCTTTCAAACCATGATCTTTAGATCTCAGCCTCCTGAGTAGCTAGAATTACAGGCATGAGTCACCAGCACCTGGCTCAAACGTCTTTTTTCCTTTTTGTTGTTGTTCTTGCACTGGGGCTTGATTGAACTCATA